ATCAAACTTATATAATTTTCTTCAATAGACTTCTCAGCAGAAACTACACAGGCAAGGAGAGAAAGGCATAATGCATTTGAAGCACTCAAATATAAAATTGGCCAGCAAATAATTCTATATCCTGCAAGGTTCTTTTTCAGATATGAAGGGGAAATGAAGGCTCCCCCTAAACAAAATCTGAAGAAGTTTGCACACACTAGACCTCCTCTGTAAGAAATGTTGAAAGGAGCACTCCTAACTAAATCAAAGAAAATGCACTAAAAGAGTAAGCAGATAGATAGAACCCCCCCAAAAGACCTAAAAACAAATGGCACTAGCAAATCCCCACATATCAATAATCATTCTAAATCCAAATTGACTGAGCCTGCCAACCAAAAGGCATGGAGTGGCTGGATCAGAAAACAAAGCCCAACCTTCTTTTGGCTCCAGGAAAACCATCTGAGCTCCAAAGTTAAATACAGGCTCAAAGTAAATGTTGGAAAACAAATTTTCAAGCAAATAAATAAAGGGCAGTGATAGTAATAGTTACATAAAATAAACATCCAGATAAAAAAGCATAAAAGAGATAGGGATGGACATTATATAATAGTTAAGGAATCACTACTTCAGGAAAACATGACACTAATCAATATATATGCACCACATAAAGGAACACTAAAATACATAAAACTACTATTAACAAACTTAAAAACAGATATTGACTGTAACTCAACTGTGGTAGGGACTTCAAAAATACCACTTATACTAATATACAGACAATCCAGATGGAAAATCAACCAGGAAACAATAACCTTAAGTGAGGAATTAGATCAGATGGGTCAACTAGACATTTAGAGGGTGCTATACTGCACCCCTCTCCTCCCCAACCCCCCAATAAAAATAACTGAGTACACATTCTTTATGTTCTTTGCACATGGATCAGTCTATAACACATTTGGGTCACAAAACAAATGTCATTAAATTCATGAAGATTGAAATCACATCAATATAATCTCTGATTACAATGGTATCAAGTCAGATCAACTACAAAAACAAAGTTAGAAAAACATATAATATACGGAGAATGATTTCAATACACTATTAAATGACTATTGGTTTAATGAGAAAATCAAAGAAGAAATTAAAAAATACCTGGAGAGAAACAAAAATGAAGACACAAGTTACCAGAACCTATGAGACACAGCAAAAGCCACATCAAGAGGGAAGTATATAGCAATATAAGTCTATATCAAGAAGTATGAAAGATCATGGATAAATAATGTAACATCTTAAAAAACTAGAATCTTGAAAAACAAAGACTGAATCAGAAAGAAACAGAAAACCTGAACAGGCAAAATACAAGCAAGAAAATTGAAACAGTAATGAAAAGTCTCCCAAAAAACAAAACTCGGGGTCAGACTATTTTACTAGTGAGTTCTACCAAATTTTCAGAGGAACTAATACCCATCCTTCTCCAACTCTTCCAAAAAATTGAGGAAGAAGGAATGCCCCCAAGCACATTTTATTAGGTCAACATTGCTCTGATGTCAAAATCAGATAGTATATTAAAAAAAGAAAACGATGGATCAATATTACTGATCCATCTAAGAGTATAGATACAAAAATCCTCAATAAAATCATAGCAAACTGATTTCAAGATACTTAACAGGATCATGCCAAAAAAAAAAAAAACAAAGGATCATACATCTGGGCCTCCCTGGTGGCGCAGTGGTTGAGCGCTGGGTTGCGAAGCTGCCTGCAGCCTCTGCAGGGCCAGTTCGATCCCCGGCAGCCAGGCGAGGGTCCCACATGGCGTGCAGACCTCTCTTGCCACCCACTTGGAAGGGATCATGCTCAGCGAAATAAGCCAGAAAGAAAAAGAAAAATACTGGATGGTCTCACTCACTCTATGGGGGGTGGGGGTGAGGAAAGGAGGGATTGGGGTCAAAATAAGGGGGTTGCAATTGTATGGGGAATATAAAAATAAAATTAAAATTAAAAAAATATTAAATAACTAGGAATAAACCTAACAAAGGTAGTGAAAGACCTATCCAATGAAAATGATAAGATACTGCTAAAAGAAGTAGAAGAAACCACAGTGAAATAGAAAGATATTCCCTGCTCATGGATTGGAAGAATTAAGATTACAAGTAGCCATCTTACCCAAAGCAATCTATAGATTCATTGTAATCTCTATCAGTTTCAATGGCATTCTTCAAAAAAAAAAAAAAAAAAGAGCAAGCAATACCGAATTTTATATGGACCACAAAAGACTTGCAATAGTCAAAGTCATCTTGAGGTGAAAAAAAAGAGGAATGGAAGCACCATATACCCAGACTTCAAACTATATTGCAAAGCCACAGTAATCAAAACAGTATAGTATTGGAATAAAAAAAAAGACACACAGACAAATGGAATAGATTTGAGTCAGAAAAAAATTACACTCTTATAAGGACAGTAAATCTGTGACAAAAGAGTCAAGAATAAACAATGGAGAAAGGAAAGTATCTTCAGCAAACGGTACTAGGAAAACTGGGAAGTCACATGCAGAAAAATGAAACTAGATTTCTCTCACAGACCATGCCAAAAACTTAACTCAAAATGGACCACAGATTTAGCTGTAAGAGTGAAACAATAAAATACATAAAACAAATAGATGACACTCCATGACACTGGCTTCAGGGATGCCTTTGGGGACTCAACTCAAATGGCAAAGAAAACAAAAGTAAAAATAACTACATCAAACTTAACAACTTCTATACAGTGAAAGAAACTATCATTAAAACAAAAAAGCACCCTACAGAATGGGAGAAAATATTTTCACATTATACATCAGACAAGGGTCTTATATTCAAGATCAACAAAGAACTCATAGAATTCAACAAAAAGAAAACAAGTAACCCAATCCAAAAATGGTCAAAAGAGCTCAATAGATACCTCTCAAAAGAATACATACAGATGGGCAATGGGTACATGAAAATTTGACCAATATCATTTATCATCAGGAAAATGTAAATATAAAACACGGTGAGAGACCACCTCATTCCTGTGACAATGGCTCATATCAAAAAAGCAGCAACAGCAAACATTGTTGAGGATATGGAGAAAAATACCCCAGTCACACTATTGGTATAAATACAGACTGATCCAGCCCCTATGGAAAACAGTATGGAAATTCCTCAAATATTAAAACAGATATGCCATAAGACCCAGAAACTCCACTCTTAGGCATCTACAGACAACTATAAATCAGAGACATTCTGCAGGGTACGGGGAGGGAAAGAGATCAAAATGAGGGTGGGCAGAGCACAAGGGACTGTGGTGATGGTGCACGGGTGAATTGGTGGTAGGAATTCTACAGGGACTACACCTGAGAAAAGAAAGCAAACATTGTAAGAAAAAAAAATAGATTAATAAAAAGGAGACTGCAGAATTGAGGGTACTATACGCGGAGAGAGGACAGGCATGGAAAAAAGGAGGGGGGACCAATAGGTGAACTTAATCCACTAAATCATATACACTGTTGTAAACCAATGTTACCTCAGTAAAAAAGAGTTAAAGGTAAAGTACATTATGTGGTTTAATTATCTGGCCCACCAAATAACACCAACAAGAGACCCGAAGGAGACAATTACTATTGGTGACTGCCACAAAACTGGAAGTAAAAACCTGTCATTTCACTTAAAGAAGGTGACCTGGGAGAAGGTGACCTTGGGAGCACAAAGGCGAGGCGAGGGGAAAGCAGGAAAAAAGCAAGCACAACGTAAATTCGCAGCTCTCAGCAAAGAGGAGTGAACGATACTTAACATACTGTGTGAACTACCGGCGCATTAATTCTTAAATGTAATCCAATCAAAAAAAGACACGTGGCAGTCATTGGCAAACACTGATGCACACATTACAGAGCATTTGAATCACTGTAAATATTATTTGAAATATTTTATGTCTAGTTTGATAATTTTCTCCATTTTACTTTATTCTGCTGTGGGGAGATAAACTGCAAAAAAAACAAACCTTTGTTAAGGTAATTTTAGATGTCTGTGGAGTTGTAACATTTGTCTTGGGAACCCCCAGAGCCTGAGAGATCCTAAGCAATTAAGTTCACCCCAGCTGTGTGTGCTGGAACACCGACAGGCTCACCACCTACAGTATTCCTGAGGCCACACTTTTTTGAAAAAGCATTTTAGTGGTTTGATTCCAATGTTGAGAAAAAAGGAGCATTAATTCCCTCTTCTAATACAAGATAAGTTTTAGCACTGTTTGCTACATTCTCTTTTCTCTCCAGAATTCTTTGAGTTTTATTTATTTATTTATTTATTTATTTAATAGAGGCATGATTTATTTATTTATTTATTTGTTTGTTTGTTTGTTTGTTTGTTTGTTTATACAAGCACTGGGTACAGTCAGAAGCGCGGGAGGGTGAGAGAATTCACCAGAGCCAGAGCGGGGAGCAGAGCAGGCAGAAGGACCAAAGTACACTGCTGAGGGGAGCAGCGGGCGGCAGGAGAGGTTTGTGTGCCATGTGGGACCCTCTTCTGGTGGCCGGGGAGCAGCCAGGGATCGAACCAGCGCCACAGAGGCCGCGGGCAGCTTCGCAACCCAGCACTCAACCGCTGCGCCACCTGGGAGGCCCAAATTATTTGAGTTTTATTTATTTATTTTTTAAAGTCATCCAAACTTTTTATTTATTTATTTATTTTTAAAATAATAAATTTTATTTTTATATTCCCCCATAAAATTGCAACCCCCCCATTCTGACCCCAATCCCTCCCCTCCCGCCCCCCACTCCCCAAAAACGTGTCTCTGGTTCATAGTTTTTTGTTGATTTTGATTTTCACTTTCTTATAGTTATTCATTTTCCTGGTCCCTTATTTAAGTTTTCTAGATTCCTGCTATGAGTGAGACCATCCGGTATTTGAGTTTTAAAGGTTCAAATCCTGATGCAGAAAACTGAATCCAACTCTGAGAAAAGCGCAGAGGCACCGCTCTCTGGCCCTTGGGGAGGGGAGTGTCCCCCTTACCTTTATCATAGATTTCCTTCAAGACTCCTCGCTTTATCAGCTCCTCTCTGCTTTGCCTCATTGATATTTTCCTTTCCAGGGCTACAAGCAAAAGACAAACAGAGAAGCAGTTGTGAGCAGGTAACCTGTCTTTTAAAGGAATCCTGTTTTAATATGTACTGAAATGGAATGTATGGGAAAGCTTCTGCAAATTGTTCTTTTTTTCCCCCCGCATTTGGAAGACTGTCAGCATCATTTTTCTTTTCTTTTTTTTAAATTTAATTTATTTTTTTATATATTTTACATCATTCTACCTTTTTGTACAATACATGCTTTCTCCTCTCAGGTGTAGTGTTTGCTTCTGCAAATAATTCTTTACTAATGTAAGCTAATGATGCCACTTAAAATTTTTATGCTATAAGCATTTCAATCAGATGATTTCATTTAATGTTTAAAACAACCTTCAAATTACCTATGAAGTAGGTATTTTTATTCATTTTATTTATGGCTGAGGAAAGTACAGCACAGAGGTGCTTGACTACCTGCAAGAGTCACAGGTTATTGAGAAGCCGGACTAGGATTCAAAGCCACAAGTGCCCACCTCATACCGGCTTGACTCTGTCATACTGCCTTCCCTGGGCCTGGCCTTCCTCCTAGGTGGGATTTCTTTTTTTACTTATCTCTTTCTTACATTACCTTTCACTGAGGATTTTGTTGTTTCCTACCTACATCTGTGAAAATATGTCCTAAAAAGCTTTCTGGATTGGTACCCCAGTGTAGGGTAAGGAAAAATGTCAGGCTTTTCTGCCCTCCCGCCATCAGGATAGATGATGGATCCTTGCGGTCCTGAATGCATGCCTGATGGCGGGCACCTGGAGTAGGGTGTGGGCATAGGTGGATGGGATTCACCTGGGCTGTGCTTTTAAGTGCGGCATCACGGGGACGCCAGTAGAAGCCAAAAGAGAAGCCGAGAGAGAAGCAAAAGAAGCAGTAACTGAGAGAAGGCCGGAGAGCCCAGAGTGAAGACCTGCTGGGGGCTGGGAGGCCTGCCAGCCTCCCGGCCCCCCTGCCTGCCATATGCCTGGTGAACCCCAATAAAAGACCTGCAAAACCCCTGAGGACTCTGACTCTTCCTTTACCCGGTCTGCTGGATATTAGAAAACCTGGTCGGTGGCCTGTCCTGCCCTTACACTCAGGTCCCTAAAGATAGACTTGGGATGGTAGGAGAACTGCAGGGGCCAACCCACTGTAGGGTAAGGTAAAAGTATCAGGCTTTTCTGCCCTCCCGCCATTAGGATAGATGACAGAACCGTGTGGTCCCGAACGCATGCCTGATGGCGGGCACCTGGAGTAGGGTGTGGGCATAGGTAGATGGGATTCACCTGGGCTAAGACTGGGCTTTTAAGGGCGGTCTCACAGAGATGCCAGCAGGAGCAGTAGAAGCAGAAGCAGAGACCACCAGAGAACGCTAGAGAGCCCAGATAGAGTGAGAGCCCAGATAGAGTGAAGACTTGCTGAGGGCTGGGAGGCTTGCCAGCCTCTCGGCCCCCCAGCCCGCCACCCCCCCCTGCCTGCCGTGTACCTGGTAAATCCCAATAAAAGCCTGCAAAAGCCACTGAGGGCTCCAGGACTCTCTCCTCCTTTACCCCATCTGCTGGATCAGAAAACCTGCTCAGTGGCCTTCCTGTCCTCTACACCCGCCCACTGCTCTCCTCTCTTCTGCTCCACTGGTGCAGCCAAGGGGGGAGGAGGACCGATCAGTTATGACAGTGCCTCTCTGGGACCCAGGTCCTCACCTGAGCCAAGTGCTCTAGCAGCTGGGGGCTGGAGGAGGTAAGAGGATCAGTGGGCATGAGGGAGGGTAATTCAAGTGGAAATGGAGCCAGGATGGAGCTCAGGAGCAGCTCTAAAGGGCAGGCCCATGGCTCCAGGTGGTGGGAGGACTCAGAGGCGTTTGGGGAGGAAAGCTATTCCAGCTGCTGCCATTTCAGCTTCTGAGTAAATACTGAGTGGAGGAGGTGAGAGGTTATTTCTGTTGTCTTTGTCAGTGGGAGACATCCTTTTGGTTCATTGCTATTCAAGGGGAAAAGCCAGTTGTAAAATAAGGCAACTATTTTATACAGACAGATGCAATACAGATTAACACACAAACCCACAGCTCAACAGAATTTAGACCAAAGAATATGAATAAGAACTAGAAAGCAAGCAGGGAAACAGTCCAGGACTGTGATTCTAACTCATCCTGCTGTCAGCTGTGTGACCCTTGTCAAGTCACTTTGCCAGTCTGGGCAAGTCGAATGCTTCAGCCCAGCTACTGCCATTTAATAGTCTAGGGTGAGATCCAGAGGTAAGTGTTCTAATAGAGAGCTCTCTGGTTATTCTTAAGCATATCAAGGTTGAACATCATAAATTATATATTTTGGAACTTATTATTTTATTTTTCATTTTGTGGTAGAATATTTTATTCCTTTCAATATTTTGTAAATTTTATACCATGTTCACATATTGCTTTTATAAACACACAAAAAAGCAAAGCACCCAAGAGAAAAAACTGCATAAATCATATTCTAGACATTAGGTATAATAATGAAAGCCTAGAAAATAAAGTACTCTATTGTAGGGGGACCAGCCCCAGACTGGGCTGGTTCATGGTTGATTTGGGCAGGTCTTGGAGCCCTTGGTAGATTTGATAGACCTTCAGTGCTGAAGCAGGGGACCACATACACAGACAGACCAGCAGGCAGGGAGGCAGACATGAGGGAGGCGGGGGGCTGGCCTGAGAGGATGGCTGGGGGCAGACAGCACCCGAGGTTTCCAGCCCTTGTTATCTCTGTGTTCTCTCCATGGCTTCTTTCTGGTTTCTCTCTCCTTATCTCCTTTTATCTCTGACTTCCTGGCCCAGGTATCCATATTTACATATGGGCATGCCCCATGCTCTCTGGCTTCTCCATCCAGATGTCCACAAACACAGGTGTGCATGCCTGTGCCCGCATTCCCAAGCACTTTTTAAAAAACGATTTATTTATGCACACAAGAACTGGGGTACAGGCCAGAGGGGTGGAGGATTCACAAGAGACAGAGTGGGGATCAGAACAGGCCAACTAACTGAAACACACTGCTGAGGGGAGCAGCAGGTGAGTCAGGAGAGGTCTGCTGCGCCATGTGGGTCAGCTCCCTGGCCAGGGATCGAACTCATGCTGCAGTGGCTGCGGATAGCTTCATAGGTTGCATCTCAATCCCCTGTGCCACCAAGGAGGCCTCCAAAGCACTTTTTACTCAAGAGCAATATCATGTGTGGGTAATGAAACCTGAGAGGAAAGCAAGGCTGGAGGTGGCAGCTGCAGAGGCCCATGGCGGGAAGCAAAAGAGCCTGATTTAACCCATTTTCCTTACATTATAGAAGGGAATTATTTAAGTAAAATACCATATTATGACTACTTAGAAAATTTATATACTTGTGAAGATTATTCACAACATAATAATCCATTTTTGACTATTGTAATTAAAAAGCAGGATAAGTGCAGATAGATTATAATGCCAATTATGTAATTAAACATGCATAAAGCCAAAGATTCAAATCAATGAGGAAAGAAATGAAAGGTAATTTTTTTTGCTCAGATGGTAAAACTTAAATTTCCTGTAATGTTAAAACTTTAAAGAATTTTTGAGGTAAAGTACCTGCAGAACTTCTTATTTTAAGAAATGCTATATTCTAACACTTGCTCTTAAATTATAATTATGTGATATAAAACAGAAAAATAAATGTTCGGTTAGGATGCATTAGGATCTAATATACTGAGACCATGCGAATGATAAAATAGTTACATATCAATGTAGGCCCAGAATGCAGGCAGGAGGGCCACAGGGAAGGCGTAGGGTTAAAGGTGGGTGTAGAATCACCAGAGAAGTGTCTGTTTTGGGGAGTGAAGGAGTTCTAAGATCCTACCGCATGACAATATGGTGGCAGGAGAGAAGAAGGGATTTCCCTATGAAGAAGAGGAAGGACAAGAGAATGGAAAGAGAACTGCAAGCCAGTTGGAAAGTTCTGCTTGGTTTTTTAAAAAGGTTTCTTAGCAGCACCCTGAGAAAAGACTGGAGATGAAACAGGAGACCCCCCACTCAGGGCTCCAGTGCTTGGCCCCAGAGCACTGCCTGTGAGCAGTGCAAGTTGCATTTTACTGCCCACCACCAGTGGCTCCGCTGGGCTCAGGCTGCTGGCAGAAGCCAGCAGTGATAGCGGAGAGACAGCAGTGGTGACCCTAGCATGCCACCACAGGGCATGCAGCCCCTGAGGCTCCATGGGGCCAGCTCCTGTGCTCGGGCTCTCTCCAGTTGCAGGCAGTAGAGAGGCCCTTGGATTTGGTGCCTGGATCATGGAATGAACCAATCAGGTGTGAGCTTTGAGCTGACCGGTAAATGCTCCAATCAGACATAGGATTGAAACCTATTCAATCAGACTGGTAGGTGGGGGGCCCAGACTGAGGAGATAAGGCAGGGCAGGAGCCAGCTTGGGAATGCGATCCACTGCTTGCACTGGGCTCTCCGGCTTGCTTGGACTGAACTGCCTTCTACTACACTCCTGTACTCTGGCTGCACTTTTGCCTGCTTGGGACTTGCTCTGAGTTGCTTGCTCAGACTCACTTGCTTGGACTGGATACTTTTTTTTTTTTTTTTTAATAAATTTTATTGTTATATTCCCCATACAATTGCAGCCCCCCCATTCTGACCCCAATCCCTCCCCTCCGCCCCCCGCCCCCTAAAAGTGTCTCTGGTTCATAGTTTTTTGTGATTTTGATTTTCACTTTCTTATAGTTATTCATTTTCCTGGTCCCTTATTTAAGTTTTCTAGATTCTGCTATGAGTGAGACCATCCGGTATTTTTCTTTTTCTTTTTGGCTTATTTCGCTGAGCATGATCCCTTCCAGCGCCATCCATGTTGCTGCAAATTGCATGTGTTTATCTTTTTTGAATGCTGAGTAATATTCCATGGTATATGTACCACATCTTCTTGATCCAGTCATCTATTTTGGGCATTTGGGCTGTTGCTTGGACTGGATACTTGCTTGCTCGGACTGGACGCTCTCAGACGCATCCAGCAGCTG